GCTTGAACAGTGCTCCGTGGGATGTTCAAGGCTTGGGAAATCTTTTTGTAGCCTAAGCCTGCTTTAAATTTCTCAATAACTTTATCCCTGATCTGTCTGGTGTGTTCTTTGGACTTCATGGTGTTGAAAAAAATATATATTCTGATTGCTTGGGTCATCATTTATGATGGCTTAGAGCACACAGCGTCCAAAGACTAACAGAAAATGTGAGCCAAGTAAGGGATCAGTGGAGAAGCATAGCAGAGCCAAAAATCATGTTTCATATTCTGACATTGGTGATATTGATATATTAAGTAAATCTATGAATAATATAAGAGACCAGCTGTGTTGACTGCAAATGTTCTCTCTTTGACTTTGGTATATTTATAACATTTATTGGTCCAATATATTATATTAGACTTCATTATTGCTTTATAGACCTACATCTCGAGTTGTTTGAGCTGTGTTTTTGAGCTCCTGTCATAAATCTTTTCCAGATATGGCAACATTTTAAGGGACAATTGCATTGCAACTTTTGCATTTGCCTTTAATATCTTTGCTGGCCTCCTTCATTATGTCTGGAGCAGTTTATCCAGTTAGCTGAATGATTAGGTACACCCAAAAAGGAGGTTACATTGTTTGGGGGTTTAATAAGAGCTTAATCTGACTGTGAAACACAAATAACATACAAAAAATGCCCACTAATAAAAAATATGTTGTCTTACAACTGAAATTACCGTGACAGAAATAATGGAAGTCGTGTGTATGGATGCAATAAAAACAGCTTGCATTCATCTCTCCAGGTTACACAGGCGACAGATTACTAACCCAATAATTTTATTTTATCTTTACTGCTACACAGAATGCAGAAAATCTAATATTATACAAAATAACTTTTAACACAAGAAATCAAGAAAAAGTTTGAAGCATCAGGAAAACATATGGACATCACCTACAAAAAGTGTCCTTTCATCGTGCACAGTGTGAGGAGCCACACCGTATGCTCACCTACAACCACATTTCCACTCTTTATCCCTCGGCTGCAGAATTAGACGAAAAAAAGCTACTATGAAGCTTTTTTTATTAGCACATGACAGACGGGTGTGACCTGCCTGGACTATTGCCTTACTCAAGTTAATTATACTACATGTGTGATAGCAGTCCTGTGGGTCTCAGTTAAGAATAAAGTAGAATTTCTGAAAGATATTTAGAGAAGTTAGACACAACTACAACAACTATAATGCAGTTTATGATATCTTATTGGAAATGTGGCAAAAAGGATCCAAATAGCAAAAAATATGACACACATACATTTAACCTTTAACCTGACTGATGAAGCTGATTCAGGGTCTACCTCATATGGGCTACAGTTCAGGTGACAGTTGCTCTAACCCTTGAACCAAACTCACAGCGAGTACGTTTGAGCCCAAGGGTTAGACTTCTCCTCAAAAGACTAATCAAAGACTGTTGCACGCCACAAAACACCTGACAGCACTGTTACCAAGATGTATGTTCCAGATTATGGTCAATTGTGTCTGCTCTCTGGGGATCAGTTGATGTTTCTACCAATGGAGCGATTCTTATTCAGCACTTTTCTTCACCCAAGCACATTTTCTATGCAGTGCTTTTTATCTAACATTCACATACATTCAATACTGCAATGAATGCATCAGAGAGCAACTTGAAGTTAGTATCAGCAGCCCAGGATCGAACCACCAGCCTTCTGATTAGTAGATGACCTGCTCTACCACCTGACTTACAGCCACCTCACTGCACATCAGAGCTGCTTTCCGAGACAGGTTGTCCCAGTGATGTCATTTGCTTTGTGGTCCAGTGTTTAGATTACCTGCACATGGATTGAGGCTAAAGGAGCTGGTGGTGGTTGTAGTAGTTTTAGTAGTAGTGGTGGTGGGGGAAAAAGCTGGACCGTCAACTTCTCTGAGTCCATTGTCCTCCTTGAAGCTCACTGCAGAACAACAACAGCATAGACTGTGAGAAACATGTAGCGGTCCAGCTAACCGAGGCTACTGCATTCCTACCATTTAATGTTTCTAATATAAGCAGCAAATTTGAAAACGAGCAATATTCCAAGACATCATTTGACCCATGCTGAGTGTTTTTGTCATTATACTCTTTTATGGAGCAGAGAGAGTTCTATGAATAAATGAACATTTTTATTTGAGGTCGTAATGGGTGGATTTTTTATACTCCTCTTTAAATATCTCTTCCCCAAGGGCCATAAATATGATGGCGATCAAATCTGGTGCTGGTTTAACCACAGCACAACCATAGATTAGCTTACTGAGATTTCTGCATTTAAGCTTTTAGTGGAAGTAAAATACTTTTTTGTTATGCAGCTGCCTCATCTCGTGTCAGTGAATTCTGAACACGTGGAGTTTTTTAAACCGAAGTAGCACCGGGTCAAACTAAATATGACAGGCACAGAATTTCAAATAATGTGACAAATGAAGTAATTAACACAACTCATTATGTCCAGTGCTTGGAACCTTGGTTCCTGACATGCATGTAAATGTTACTTTACATCTACCACCCACCTAAGCACTGTTGCAGCCCAAGAGCCCCACACCAGCTCATGGCTGTGCAATAATACTTGAACAGCTCAAAAAAACAGTGTTTATCCGGTTCTCAAACTCACGTGATCCCAAACAGTCTAACCTGTCCTTGAAGAACCTCGGAGACACTGCGTCCATGTCCTGACAGGTCATGGACACAGTGGGCATGTGGTTTTTATGTCATGGCTGATTGTTATACACCACTCTCACTGTGTCATTTTTCTAAAATAAATACACAAAGCATTCATTTGTCTGTTTGTTAGCAGTGTAGCATCCACAGTTTTCAAGATATCATTTTTAAAATCTTGTGCGACGGTAGATGCCAATAATAGCTCGAGCTGATTTCATTTTGATGAAAATCAGGTCAAAGTCACACCAAATATGAAAATCAGTAAAAACTTTATATTACCCACAGCTTTTCATGAATATTCTTCAAACTTTGCAACAAAATACTTGATCTTGGGGGAAATAAGTACCTGTATTGACTAAGCATTTGACCATGACCTTCACTGTTAGTGCCCAAGGTCAAAATTAGCCTTGAAAAAATATTTAAAGAAACCATGACAAGAGAGAGCTGCACAATACAAATTTTTTTTCAATATGATGACCTAAGATGTCATAATGACGCCATAACAGGCTGATGTCATTAACCACCCTCATAAAACATCAAAGTTTTAGTAGAGCCCTTGCCCTTCGAGAGGAGTTGCGCTCTCTGAGTGCTCCACTGAGCTCTCTCTCAGCTCATATTCAATCACCCTGCTAGCACCCCAACATAAAGCATATGCCTACAGTAATGGGAGTAGTGAAATTCCTTTTGAAATAATCTTATGTCCATTTGTCACTTTCAGCTCTTCCTGAGATGTTTAAATGTACCTATACTACCAAACACATTGAAACCCTGTTCCTTTAGCCTCTATGCAATTAGTGCAAGTCATGTTTTTGTGTATTCTGCATGACAGATATGTATAACTACATATGACACATTGTTCAGCATTTCAAACACAGCACAACAATCTTGTCAAGCCTTGGATTTCTCCAAATATGAAATTAAAATTATGATTTTAAGGACGGGCTACTGTACCTGGTGCACACGAATGTCCATCCAGCTGCAGGATGTAGCCCTGGTGGCAGCTACAGCGATAGGAGCCCCAGATGTTGGTGCATGTGTGCTGGCACAGCTGGCCAGGGTAGAGCTCACACTCGTCAACATCCTCCTGCTCCTCCACAGTGTTGGCAGCTTCATCTGTGGAACTGATGGAGAAGGCTTCCTTGGGGAACTTATTGTCTGATACTGGGAGTCCGTGGAGAGGAGGTGGGAGAAAGTGAGGGGAGGGGGGTGTAAGATTAGGAACCAGATTTTCTGTATTTATTCCAAACACTTATCTAATGAAACTGACTTGAAGACACAAAACAACATCTGCTCGTCCCCTACAATTACATTCAAAGTGTGTATGTGTGTTTATACAGTGCAGTTATACATTTCCTGTTTTAGTTTTACATGAAAACAAATGTAAAAAGTCAACTGTGAAACCCTCATTGCATTTATAGGACACTTACTGTTCTTTACTAAATGAGAGTAATGTATTCTGAATACTTTGGATTACTTAATAAATGATCATGCTTTTGACAACCAACACCAACTAGATTTTAAAATCTTAATATAAATGAGTAACAGTCGGTGGACATTAGGTAAGCTGCACTTTTTGCAGCGATCTTGTATAGAAAACTATTCTGTGCGTATATAAAACAGGTCCACGGCTCCGAACCGAAGTAAAGGGACCTCTGGCTAATACGTCGGGTTTGTGTCGGGCATATAGAGAGGGGGCAGCCTAACATATGAAACAGGGAAGTACCGCCGTGTAATCCATTTACTTCAACAAAGTAACTGTATTCTGAATACCACCTTTTTAAACTGTAACTGTAACAGAATACAGTTACTCATATTTTGTATTTTCAATACGTAATGCTGGTACATGTATTCCGTTACTCCCCACCACTGACGACTACAAAGCACTGATATTAGAATTGAGAACTGAGTTAATTTTAAGACCCTACAATAATTCAGAGAAAACCCCAACAATCAGACAGCCCTGTTTGAGCAAGAACTGGGTGACAGTCACAAGCAAAAACTCAGGACAGCAGGAAGAAACCTCTCGCAGAACCTGCATCAGGAAAGGGTTGCGATCAACGAATCAACAATCACATGGAGCCTTTCTATCTGACCAACAAACATCAGCAGACACACAAACAGTTTGTGTGTCTGCTAACTAAAAGTTAGCAGTTCATCAACTTTTACACAGGTCTGTGTAGTTCTGTTTAACTAATGGATGTCTGTGCTTTTGACACCTCTGATTACTGAACTGTCTCTCTGAAAAGTGCGCTGTGCCTCGTACACTTAATAATGAGCCAACTTGATTGAGATCACCTTGAAAACAAAGTGTTTTATCTCAAACAGTAGATATGCAGATGTGATAAATGTATATTGCTAAACTTGTATGCTGCATAATTCCAACACTGCAACAACAAAACTAGACCTCCTCCAGTTTGATTTGATATGGTTTTGAAAACCAGTTCTCTGCCCAACAAGGTGACAAATATTCAAGCAAGACTGCGTTCAATCTTGCTAAATCTTTATGGTCACATGACTTGGCAGGTGCATCCTCGATCAGATTTTAAGGCTTTAATACGGCTACTGTACGTGCCGCTTTGGGCTAAATTTGTAAAGCAAAGTATTTTTGGACTAAATAAAGGCTGACCGGAAAAAAAATGTCCATAAATGTTGAGCTCGGGATTTAGGTTATTACTGATGCATTTTCCCTTTGTAGAACAGAATAATAATGGATTGGATTTATATAGCGCTTTTCAAGGCACCCAAAGCGCTTTACAATACCACTATTCATTCACTCTCACATTCATACACTGGTGGAGGCAGCTACAGTTGTAGCCACAGCTGCCCTGGGGCAGACTGACAGAAGCGAGGCTGCCATATCGTGCCATCGGCCCCTCTGGCCAACACCAGTAGGCAAGTAGGGTAAAGTGTCTTGCCCAAGGACACAACGACCAGGACAGAGAGCCCAGGGATCGAACCGGCGACCTTCCGGTTACAGATGCGATTCCCAACCCCCTGAGCCAGAAGACATGGAGAGATACAGTACAAAAATATAATTTATCAATAATATGTCCAGATGTGGGTTTTAAAAAATATCTCTCACAGTCATTACCTGGGGTTTAAATTCAGAGGATTAAATGTTTCCTGCTTTAATTAAAAGGCAGTGAGTCATAAGAATCAAAATATCCCCCCTGGAAATAATTACAGTTGCTTCTCATGCAATTTTTAAAATTCAAAATACACTCACACAGTAAAAGCATCTTTGCTGTGAGGGTGTTTGTGAGAATTATTAGATAGACTCAATGGACGTCACTAGTTTTTGCAACCTTAAAACCTTGCAAAGCTTTCAGCAGGTTAACTGATTCCCACTTCAGAATGACATCATTCAGACTTTTTTTGGAAGCTAAAGGAAATGAGCTGCAGTGGATTGTTCAAGCAGAGCCTATTAAAGGGCAGGATTATGTGGAATTATGTTGTGAATGAAATAACAGCCTAAAGTGTTGAGAAGACCAACCTTACCTCACCATCGTACTAAAAAACAACTATTCCCATTAAAGGACAACCATGAAAATAATGAACTGCATTTCCATGCCGTGTGTCTGTTCCCAATATATAAAACTAAGAAGCCGGAAAAGGGTCTTCCAAACCGCAAACTAATGATTATGGAATGATTCTTCTGCTTTTGTAAAAAGTTTTATGTCACCCATCACGAATCTGATGTCATTGATGAAAAACATGCAAATCCCTTCTAATAGCGCCTACAGCTGCAAACAAGGTATGTAGGTCATATTCAGTGAAATGTTAACAAGCAGTCCTGTTTTTGCAGATGGAATGAAAAGCAAAGGTTTGCCGAAATGCTTGTGCATTAAACCTGAGCTTCTTGACAACCCGCTGGATCAAAGACAGAGGAAAACTTTGCTGGCCCAAGTAGAGAGACAACAGCCCGAGCTGCCATCTGTTCCTGATTCATCACAGCTCCCCATTACTCTGCACGGTAACGTGACTCCTGACCGATCAACCCTGAGCATCTGACATAGGCCTGTATGAGAATAAAATACTGATGGCTCAGATCTGGACTGCTTGCTGTTGTAGTGCAGTTTTGCCAGTAGCCACAAATACGTGAGAAGTTGGTGAGGAGTGTGTATGTGTCATAAACTCAACGTGCTTAACATGAAAGATAAAAACACAGAAACCTAACCCATAACAAACATGCAAACAGACAAAAGCTATTAAATGTAAGCCTATGAGATTAAAAAGACTGTGAGTCTGTTTTTGAATGCACACATAGATGTGACTGATCTAAGGTCAGTGGGTAGCTTGAGCCAAAGAACAGGACCACAGTAATAAGAGCACCCTCAGCACACTTAGATCCAATTCTGGGAGCAGTTAAATTATTTGCACATGATGACCTGAAAGGTCCATTTGAGTTATAGACACTGAGCAAGTCAGCGATATACTGCCGGCGCACACCAGTGAATTTCCTTCAGCCATGTCCTCATGCTTCATGGATAGTCCTGGTACACTGAGCTTTACAGTATTGTAACCTGTATGATCTGCCTGCATGAACAAATTTCTTCAAGTCACTTTGAGATGAGAGTTTTTTAAATTCTTGATTCTGGTAGAAAGCACTTCCAGCAATCTTATTAATGTGATGCCATATTAATAAGATCACCATAGATCTCATAGCATCATATCAAAGCTTTCAGCTCCCAGTTTGGATTCAGGAGAATCCAAGATTTCCCTTTTGATAAAGCATAAAGTCCTCTCTGCTCTCACCCCCAACCAGTCATGGGGGATGGCTTCCCCTCCCTGAGTGTGGTTCTGCTGGACGTTTCTTCCTGTTAAAAGTGTGTTTTCCGTCCCAATGCCACCAAATGTTGCCCAAAAGCAGGTCGTTTGATTGTTTTCTCTGTAATATTGTCAGGCGAATTGAACTTAGTTGAACTGAATGTCCGAACTGATGGCAACATTCCTGACTTGCTCACTGTGTTTCTGAGAAAAGGATGGCAAATATGAACCTTTTCTGTCTCTGGTTTCTTTGACCTGCAATGACTTGTCTCTGTTCAGTTCTAAAAAGTTCCTACACAGACAAAAAGTTTAAACAGACAGGAGCAATATGGGGGATGTAAAATATCTCCTGTTTGTGAATGTATTTGTTTACTTTTTCATACTTAAGTAACTTTAAATATTCTTAAAGAGGTTTACACTCAATCTCTGTTTCTTTGTATTTTGGATCACAGAACTGTGACTGGGAAACAAAGACATTCCCCAAATTTCTCTTTACTGACCATCACAAAACGAAAGCAAACGTGAAGAGGAATAAAATGTAAAAAAAGATGAATTAGACTGATAGAATCTCCCCCGATTCATGTGGGAATAACAATGTGGCATGTTATTCAAACCTAATTGTTGGACATACTGAAAAGACTGTCGGGTGTTTGCTTTCGCTGCTTCTTGCAGCCTATTTTGTAAAAAAATGTGACATGCTGTGATAATTAACATAGCACCTGCTGAATTTAATGAGCATGTGGTAGGCCATGCACTGGAATGGATCAAAGGGCACATAGCTAACCTCACTAACCTCACTACATGAATATTTTTGTTGAGACAGGAAAGAACAGTTCACAAAGGTTCTGAAACTTTCAGTCATAATTACTACATTTTTTCACCGGCCACTTCCTTTGCTTGTTTTTTATTATACATAATATAAGTCCTAGCACGTGCAAAGTGCATCACATACGTGTTTTGCCAGGTGGAAATTGACTGTGCAGTGGGTTACAGATACCTTTCCTGGGAAGGGCAGTTGGTCTTGGCTTCTGCTTTCTCCTCAACAGGCTCAGAGCATCCCCTTCCTCGCAGCAAGTGAGGAAGATGTGGCCGCATGGATAGCCTAGGTGCTGGTGGGCATCACAACCTCGCCCTTCACTGCGAACACGTAAGCCAAGCACACAGCAGCTGCAGCACACCTGCCAGTCCGCACAACAATAGCATAGCCTGTTAGGAGAGTATCACCGGGGTGTCTTTCACATCTCTAATCATCACCTCACTTTATGGCCCTCTGCTTTTTGCTGGTTAGTAAACATCAGCATGAAAGAGAAACAGATGAGCAAGCTGCTTTATCGCACTGGAAAGGACTTCAGCTGCGTCATGTTTTGTAAAGAAAACCACATGTTAACCTGGTTTTTGCAACCATCCTCTAACACCCAGCAAGCAGAAGACCTGATACCGGAACATTTAACTCAGGTGGATTAGCCACAAAGTAAAACTCAACTACTTAGAAACTAGAAAATGTTGCATTTCAAATTAAGACTTCGACATTAAAGATTTTAATTTAAAAGCTTTCGCAGCTGTTTTCTTCAAATAAGTAAAAATTCTGATGTGGTTTAATTTCAGGATTCAACTGGCAAATGCAACTTTCACTATGTTATTGTGACAGGAAAAAAAAAACAGAATTTTCTCCCCGTTTCTGTTAACAAAGCAAAACAAGAGTGAGCCTCTGGTCAGCCAAGTGCTTGCTTCATGGAGAACTTGGTGGATCTGTTCACCATCTGTCATGACTCAACTGCCTCCCTCTTCCCTGTGAATCTTCCACTGTGTGTACCTGATAGGAGTCATCTAGACACGAGTCCCGCTCATCCACGTCACAGGTGTCTCCACCTCTGGCTGAGGTCACGCCTAGTTCACACTGTCTTTCCTTCACAGAGCTGAGACAGCACTGCTTCTGTGCAACACTGGAACACACACACACACACACACACACACACACACACACACACACACAGCGAGTATTTTAGCACTTTCTTGTGCTTCATATTACTCCATATGTTAAAAGTAAATTCTACGTTATGCATATTAATGTCAACTATATAAATAATGGAGACATAAACAAGTTAGTAAAAGTGTTTCTGAGGTCACAGGTGCTGTCCTCATAGACTTCTATACAACCAGATGGCTTTTTGTAAAAAAGGAGTTGCAAAAAGCGGCTTTACTTTTCAGACATCTTTTATGACCGTCTGATGTTACACAGAAGAAAAACAGTGTGCTCCATATAACCCAAGCAGCAACTCCTTATACATTATTATTTCTGTTCTTTGCTGTGAAAGAAACATCATCCACGATGAATTTAGTGATGGTCAATCCTGTGGCTCTGATGTTAACAGGTTAATCCTATCCCCAGCCCTTCCTGACAGTATAAGTGAAAGATGTAGCTTCCACGTATCTGTGGTTGTTTAATGGGAAACTCGTTCCTGACAAGTTAACGGGTTCAGTCACTTTTTTGGGCTCAAGAAAGTCCATTTGATTGACAAATGAACGTGTGGTTTCATAGGTAGATATGTCTCTTTCTTGTCAGATGTGTTTATAGATAGAGAATGTGGAAAAGCTCATCTCAACACTTCAAACTGATGACAGCGGTCACAGTAGCTCACTATTTTTATCATTTCGTTATTTGTCTATGATAAATCAGTTAAATCAGCTATGATGGTATTCTAATATAGTTTATATAAGACAGCGTGCAGTGGTTACAATGTTATCAAGATTCAACTGCAGTATAATCAAAACGTCTAAATTATAAAGGTAATAAAGGTCATTTTTGCACTAAAATGTATTTTCTATGGGGCAGTGTAGGAAATGGCAGCAGTGAGAGTTCAGTTATCCTGACTGTAACTCATACTTTGCATGATGTGCAGCACGATGAGTAAGTAGTTCATGTGTACAGTTAGTGTGCAGCAGCTACCACAAAGAACACTTGTATAACTAAAATTCATGCTCTCATGTTACTTACCTGCAAACAGAGACGTTGTCATTAGCGAGCAGAGGCATGTTCTTGCAGTGACCATTTTCAGAGGCCCATCTCTGGCCAGCAGTGCAGCAGGTCTGCAGCAGGTCTTCAGAGGACACACCTGGATCTGCAGACAGCAGACATGCAGGTATGCATATGTCAGCACACACATGACTGATGGAATAAAAACAGTTCAGCAGTGTTCAGCAGTACTCTACATGTGTGCACGCTGTATGGAGCAGACAGAAGCCCAAAGAGAACAGTGAAAACGTTAAGCTGTCTGACAGAAACATTTAGTAGACTGCAGCAGCCCTCGACGGTGCCTTAAAGATTTCTCCAGCTGACTAAAGAGGTACAAAACACAGTAGTGCATTTTATTACTGGATTTTTTTCCCTTTTTGATCAGGTCTTGAATAACCTACTCAGCTATACGGCACAGTTTTTAAAAGCTGAATGAGAGTCCTTTGGTAGGGTTGTGAATATA